GAATTTGATTGGCCCTATAATGACAGAAGCTAGAGCTGGGAATGTGAAACTCAAACCTTAAGTAAAAAGCCTGGATACTAAGAAAGGTGTATGGGTTATGATAAAATCCATTCTGTAGCAGAGCTGTGTCTGCCTGACCTCTAGATGGGAAATAAGAAAGACTCAATGACCCGCTTTGATGTATGGATTTTAAGTTCTGATTTACAATATCCATTTGGCATTGAAAATGTTCAAATAAAAAGAGAGAGAGAGAGAGAGAGAGAGAGAGAGAGAGAGAGAGAGAGAGAAACAACACAAAGAAATTGGTCCTGGCACATAGAAATGTAAAACTACTCTGAAGGTTTCATTTCTGACCTTAGGTTTACAGGTTTCCCACATACAAGTTCATAATTCAAAATTATTATACACAGTAAATAATATACCATGAGTAAAAGGCAGCTGAAGCAATGACAAGAGATTTGAGTAATTTAAGATCTTTTTGAAAAACAAAGTTATGCAATAATGATTATTAAATAAAAATGTTTAACATTATTAAATACATAAAAGAAACATCTATATATGTACATATGTAGATAAATAAGACATGATAGTAAAGGGGAGATAGGAAACAACTTCTGCAAATGAAAATATAGTTATTGAAATAAAAATCTCAGTGGATGGATTAAGTAACAAATTAGACGCAAGTATAGGAGGGATTTGCCAACTGGAAGGTAGATCTGACTAAAGGGTAGAAACATAAAATAAAAAATGAAAGTAAAAGAAACTACCAAAAGAAAAAGTTGTTAATCATCCTTTAGCCAGTGGAATAGTTTCTGAACTATTTCAGCTGAAAGGAATCTATACAGGGGCAATAGTGGATAAGGAAAAGTAGACAAGCCACCCAAAGATACTATTTTTACTAACTGTATGCCAAGCTGGGTTAACTGCAAATTTAACCCCCGGGTGGAGAAGAAGGTTCAGGGTGAAGCTGTGCTACCTGCTAGGTTATATGGTCCAAGGAATAAGCTACAGCACTCTCAGAGCCGAATTTCTGAAGATTGGACAATAAAACACTGCATCTGAAAACTGAGTTTATTCTGCTAATGGTATTGTATAGAACTAGAAAGAAATGGCTATCAGGATGTGACAGCAGTGGTTTATCCAGAATTTATGTAGCCTACTGGGCTTGTCTCTAGACTCTCTTTTTCTGTATCATTCCTTCCTTTTCCATTTTCTCCTCAGAGATGATGCTCTTTTCTTAATTTCTGAGGAGTTTGTACTTTTCAGTCTGTTTTGGGTTTGTTCTCACAAAATACTCCCCCTTCCTCCCTGCCTCCTTTGTCCTGCAATGGACTTGCCAGTGTATTTTTATGAAAATAATGGCAATATTTGTTAAATAATTAATAAATATTCTTCTTAATTAAAAAATACCTTACTGGTTTCTTAACGATCATACCACCAGAAGAGATTACACAACACTGTTTTATCTTCTTTGTGTATTATCAGCTCTTGATTTGTGGAAATACAATGTGCCTGTCCTGATGATGCTAAAGTTTGTTGTTCAGAGTTTAGAAAAGATTAAACTGGTAAGAATGAGGCTGAGGGATCTGTCAAGAGAGTATTGCACTCCGTATCTGAAAGGAAAAAGGTCTGCCTGAATCAGTTCAGGGGTGCTGGAAGCAGAAGGGAAAAGACTATTTGAAGAAAGCAGAGGTGTGCAGAGGACTTTCGGCCTGCTGAGTGGGGGCTGGGAGAATCAGGGAAGAGCAGAGGTAATGACTGCTGGCGGCATTCCTGACAGGCCCAGTGTTTGCCTGGCTCTAGGAAGTCTCAAAATCAAAATCCAAGGCGCCAAAATTCAACAGCCCTGTGTTGTGGGGTGAAAAATTCTGAGCTGTGCCTACCCGTGCACAATGCCACTTGCCCTATCTACAGCAGGGAACTGTATAGCTCAGACGAAAGGCTGATAATAAAATAGTGTGCAAATATTGTGCAAAAGTACCAGTGACTCCTCCACTCATCACCAGGGAGGTGTGTTAAAAGGCAGAGCGACAGCACCGTAAGGTCATGTACTTGGGCCCTTGTGCCACTCTGCCGTTTAGTGGCACGGTCAATTCAGGTCACTTACTCAGCCTCTCTAATCTCATAGGAATAAAGAGGTAGACCACCCTTCACTCTTACAAAGATTTAGCGATACATATGTAAAATGATTTCTTTCTGTACCGTTTTTTCCCCCCATGTGCATCCCCGATCTGTACAGAAAAGGGTTTTGCTAACAAAACAAACAGAACTAAAGCAAGCATTTAACTTTCTATTTCTAAGTTAAAACTACTTCTTTGTATCTAGAGCAATGCATATATAT